AAGAAACTGAAACACAGGCATCATTAATAACTTGCCCAAGTTCACTATGAAGGGGTACAAGTTTATTCCAGGCAATCTGGCTCCCAAACCCATTCTCCTAAACCCCTAGGCTATATTACTTATCATAATTCAGAAACACAGGTTAAACTAACTTCAACATTTTCCCTTTCCATGGGACTTCTCAGAGACTTTCAGTCATTCTTCTTCCCTCCTTCCCCCTTCAGTTGTTGTGCAAAACAGGTTAGGCAAGCCTTGGTGAGGCTGGGTATGTGAGGGATCCCACAAGCTACTGAGAAGAGCAGCAGAAGACATTACCTTTCCCCATCCCCACCCCCAGCCCCTCCAGTACAAGCAGCTTCATGGTGAACACTGGGAATCGGAGAGGGAGAAAAGAGATCACTGCCAGGAGAGAAGGGCCACTGTGGCCATCTGGGCCCACAGGAAGGGGTAGGAGATAGGGGGCACCTGGAGGTCCCATTATTTCTCTAGTCTACCTCCTCTCCTTGTGACTAAAATAAGGCATTGTTCCTCTGGTTTCTGGATCATGGGGTGTCAGTCCCAGGAGTCCCAGACCCAAGGGCAGTGGGAAGGAACCAGAGTGATGGTAGAGTGGGCAAGGGCAGAAGCTCTTTACTACTCAGTACAGAAAGATGTCACTATTATAACAACCAGCCCTGGTTTCCTTCACATTTCACATATATTCAGCTTCAACATTTCCAAAGCCCATTCACCTTTGATTTCATTTGACTGATAGGGTAACTCTGAGATCTCAGCAGGACAGACATCATTATCCTCATTTTGCATATTAGGAGCCTGGGACTCAACAAGTGAGTACAAGAACTGATTCCAGAAAAGAAGTCTGAATCTGGTACTCAGTATTGCTGCAATACTGAGGTTCCATCCAACCTCAAGATTTGTCCTGCACTGGAGCATGATCACCTTACAGGAAGCAGTGGGCCCAAAGGTTGTACAGTTTTGCTACCCAGCCCTGCCACTTCCCAATTTGGGAACCTAAGCAAGTCTCTCACCTGAGAATTCACTCCTCTGAATACAAGCACCTCATCTGTGTGCACTGGTACCCACCTCACAAGGAGGTTGTGAAGACTAAATATACAATGTCAGAACATCCCCCAGTACAGGACCTGACACATATAGGAGGTAATCAGGCATGGCTCTGATCCCTCTCTGAGCCAGCCTACCTTCCTCCAATCTCTGCCCACCTTCAGATCCCCTAGTATGAGTCTGAAACAACTTTCTTTCACAAGAAGTTCATTTTTAAAATGGCAGGTGAGAAAGCCAACCACAGACTGGGCAAGATTGAAGGCCAAGTTCACACAACTGGAAAGCTATCTTTTGATGGGAAGAGGCAGATGTTCTGTCTGTCTACTCAGCACCTACTTACCCCTCCAGCAACTGGTCCTTTGGTAACTGGTCCTCTCTCTAGGCTGCTAGACCTCACTCCCCAAGCTTAGAGATGAGCATGTGACCTGGGCAATCAAAGCTTTCTATCCTACAGGCCACAGTGATTGGCTCAGAGATGAACACATGACCTAAACCTAGCCAGTGGAATTCCATTGGGGGTTTTTGTTGAAACTACAACAAAATCCAGCCTGAAGATTTGTCCTCAACTAAAGCAAGATTTGTCCTCAACTTGACCTTCCACTGGGCTTGAAGCTGGGAGGGTATAAACATGGGTATATGTGTCAGGACCACCACATGGACAGAGCATGCCTAACAGCAAGAATGGCAGAGCTGAAAGACAGAAAAGGCAGCATCCCAACAATGTTGTCTGAGTCCCCAAATGCAGCCATGCCTGACTCTGAGTTAGCTGTGTGCTAAAACATAACCTAAGTAGTCTACGTCTACTTAACTTCAGTACATAAATTTCATAATCCCACATACCCAAAACTAAGTAGAATGTAGGGTTAACACTGACCAGTGTATACATGGGTGAAAGGCAGTATCTATCCACAAGTAAGAAAAGAAAGAAGAATATTAGGAACCTAAAACTGGGAACTTTCTGATATGCCCAGAACCCTACCTGAACTTATATATATGAACACACACATCACCCACTACCCCCAACACATCCCACACACATACCCATGATCCACATAAGCACACACACACACACACACACAGTTCTAGCCTGGGAGCCCACACTAACCAGATGTGGCTTATCCTTTCCAGCTGATCCTGATCCTGGTCTCATTGCTCCCGTCCACAGCCCAGCACCACAAGCAAGCCACACAGTGTGCCATCCCCTCCTCCCCTGCCATGCTCCCACTAAAATTCTCTCCCCTCACCCACTGCCTGCCATGCCTCCTCCTCTCTCAGCCCCACAGAACAGCTCTCCTGCCTCAAAAAGCTGTCCCTGACTCATTTCACTCCATCCCTGCCAAGTTCCCGTCACCACTTGGCTATTTTGCACTTCCACAGAAGGAATAATTTGCACTTGTACCCTGTATGGGTTTATACATGTTTGAACATTTTTTTTTTTGTAGGCAGCATATTGAGGAGGTGAGGAGGCTCATGGCAGACCAGGCTGGGTTCAAATCCAATGGCATCTTCACACACTGTGGGACTCATGCTCTGACCCTTGGGGCACTCATCTGTGGATGAGAGGATTTGACCTCTAGCCACCCTCCTTCCCTGTAAGCATCTCATGAGGAATAAGAAAGAGACAGTGTGGAAACTTGTTCAACAGAAAAAGGCTGTTCATGTCAGTTGTGAAGATCAGAGCTTGTTTGGCAATGTTGCAATATTGTACCATCCTTGGGCCTCTCCTCTAAGTCCCTCTCCCTGTTCTTCTCTCTAGGCAGTTTTCTCAGTTTGGTGTATTAAATTACCCATCAGGAAGTTGCCCAGATAGTAGCTGGCTCAAGCAACCACAGTGTGTGAGCCTTGAGGGCCCAGGGAATTATTGACTCTCAGGCCACGACGCAGTTTTGGGAGGCTGAGCTTCCCATTTGCAGTCTATTTCAGTGGGCCACATGGAGCATGGAATACACACAGGAGTGGAAAGACGTGCTTCCACCCTTTGCCCCTCATCTTGCTAGCTGTCTATTAAGAAATTAAGAATTGCAAATCTGAATAGAGCATGTATCCTGCATAATTTTGGTCTGGAAAGAGGTGATCCCTAGCCAGGGAAATAAACACCAAAAGCCCCTTGCAAGTATTGCAGAAGTGATCAGCAGGTGCTCTCCCAGGAGACAGTGACCAGAGTGGGGGGTCCTTTCTCTTCCCTTCTAGGGAAGGAGCAAACCACCTACAGAAAGGACACATCTGATAGACACTGTGGGCTGAAGGAAGGGGACATTGATTCTCAAATGTGTCTGCACTCGTGTCCACTTTCTCACCAGTTCCTCCAGTTTTTCATTCAATGAACACATGTTTTCACTTGCTCTGTGCCAGGCATTGTACTAGGAGCTAGGGATGCAAAAATCAAGAAGCAATTCTCTGCTCAAAGGACACCCACATATAGTGAAGGAGGCAGATAAATTAAATCAACAACTGTGAAGAGTGTGATCAGTATTGTGACAGAAAGTAAGAACACGGTAGGAGGGCCTGTCCTAGCCTACGGATCCATGGCAGGTTCGGGGGACGGAGGCAATGTTTGAACTGAGCCAGAAGTTGGAGGTGGCAAAGGGTGGGGTGGAAAGAGATTAAAAAATAAATAAAAAGAGACGCCTTCCCTGAAGGAATTCTAATCTTGCTGAGTAGGAGCAGTGAGATGAGGAAGAGGAAGAAGGCTTATAAAGTATTGCAGAGACAGGGAGAGATGAGAGAGCAAACTTAATAAAGATTGGAAAGTAGGTAGGGATGCCTGGAGCAAAAGGTCCCATAAGGGAGAGGAGCAAAAGACACCAGCAGCCCTGTCATGCTGGGCCTGTGCTGAGCTAAGGAGTTTGGGCTTTCTTCTGAAAGCTGCAGGCAGCTTCTGAAGGCAGGAGGTGACATGACCAGATACAAAACATTCAAGTAGTGATTCTTGAGAATCTGGAACACCAATTCTTTGCCAAAGAGGGAGGCGGAGCAGGACAAAGTGAGTTCTCAAGGCATTAGCAGTCTGGTGGAAAAGACACCAGGGAGAGCTCTTTCCTGATTTGCCTCCACTGTCTGAAGCCTCTCCTTCTCTCTCCTTTTTTCCTCCACTGACTTCATTAATGTTGATTTTCTTTGGGATTCTATCCTGGACCTTATTCTAGCCTCTCCTCACTCTACATATCAGTGGCTCTCAAAGTCCTGGGTAGCGACAAGCAGCATCAACATCACTCGGGAATTTGTTAGAAATGAACATTCTCAAGCCCCACACAGACCTACTGAATTAGAAACCCTGGGAGTGAGACCCAGCTACATGTAGTTCAATAAGCCCTTCAGGTAATTCTAAGGCACACTTAAGTTCAAGGGTGACTGATTTAATCAGTCCTGGCTACATATGAGAATCACCTGGGAGGCTGTTTACACACACACACATCCCGAACCTGAACACACACACCTCTCTCTCTCTCTCTCTCTCTCTCTCCCTCTCTCTCTCTCTCTCTCTCTCTCTCTCTCTCTCTCTCTCTCTCTCTCAAATTAGAATCTCGGCGCAGGGCCCAGGGACTGGCAATTCAGATGTGCACCCTGGGTTGACACGAAACCACTGGCCTAGAGCAGCGCTTCTCTGACCTTAACACACCCATAAATGCCCTGAGGATGTTTTTAAAATTCAGATTGTGACTCGCGAGACCAAGATTCTGCTTTTCTAACTAGGTGACGTCAATGCTGCTGGTCTGCAGACTTCACTCTCAGTAAGGAGGGTCTACCTTCCCAGTGTCCTTAGACTATCAGCTTCAACTACCAACTGTGTGTTAGTAACACTCCCCAGACCTAGTCCCTGCCTCTCTTGAGCTCCTAACCTGTAAGAAATATTTCCAGGTGAAGAACCCACTCACACCTCCAACTCAACACTCCCTAATTCACCTCATCCTATCCACCTCTCCCAGATTTCTACTCACCTTGGATGTTTACTAGCTCGGTAAACCAGTCTGTTCACCCAAATCAGGATAGGCCATGTCCTGAAGCCAAAATAGGACAGTTTTTAGAAGATATTCCCTTAAAAGGTGAACCCAAATCCCCAGGCTCTTGGGCCATCCCCTTACTTGAGAATTCTAGCCCTCTGCAAAGAACACTCTCCCCTCATATTTGTGAGGTTTCCAAGAGGGGCTTTGGGTGAGCCCCTGGGGGCTCTGTCACTACTCTGAATGATGACAAAACAAAAGGTCATCGGATAGGAGAGTAAAAGGGTCCCAGGGGACTTCAGGGGAAGAGACATTGGAGTATTGGGAACTTTCTTGAACTTAATCTTCCTGATACATTAAGGCTAGCATGTTTGCATATACGAATGTGAGTTCAGACTCCCAGGCTCTGCAGGGTTTCTGAGGATGGGCTACAGGTAGCCCAGCCCCTGGCAACTGAGAGAGCAGCAGTGTGGGGTGAATGGCCAATGCACCTGATCTCAGTCCCACTGAGTCTCCAGCACCTCCAGCCACTCTCCATGCCACAGTTTAGAGGTCATGTACCCGTGGCACCCTTCTCTGGGGCTTCTTGACCTAGTCTCCATCCCTGTTTTAACAGAGTGGCAAGAACAAAGCTTAATACTTGACTTCCCAGATGTAGGAGAAGGGATGCAAAGGGAGGATCCTCATTTCCTGGGATCTGAATGACATCTTACTAGTGCAGCCTAAAATTGTATCCCCTCATTCTCACCTCATGTCATCTCTGATGGATCTTATTACCAGCGAACTGCATTCAGCCAAGGTCTTCTCCATCTGGCACTTGTACAATTGATGCTTTTAAACCTAAATGTAGAAATTTACATATGTCTCTGTTAACTTTCATCTTTTTGGTTCAGCCCCCATTCTAGTCTATCAAAATCACTTTGAACCACTATCATATCTTCAGTTGCAGAATTTTTCTTTCCAACTTTCTGTTATCTACAAATTCAATAAGCATGTCTGAGGTATGCTGTGTTAAAGAAACTCTGGGCTCAGGAGTCAGGGAGATAGGCACTAGTCCTAACCTTCTATGTGACTATAGAAAAGTTATCTAACTTCTCTGAATCTCAGTGACATGACCTCTAGAAATCCTGCTAGCTCAAAATTCCACGAGTTCAGGTTCTGCAAGCAAATCTCTTGGTTTAAAACCTAGCTCTACCACTTATACGATGTATGACCTTGAATAAGCCACATAACCTCCCTGTGCCTGTTTCCTCATCATTAAATGAGTGACATTATAAAATCAGTATAATTATATAAGCATATATTACATATAAGCTCATATTATCAATGTTCTATATTGCATATTATTTCTAAGTATATAATTATAAGTATACATGTGTAAATTTATAACTATGATAGTAGTATCTGCCTCATGAGGTTTTTAGAATTAAATGAATGAATTTATATCAAATGCTCAGCTCATGCCTGGCATCTAAATAAGTGGTCAATGAATGTAACTTTATTAGTTAAGACAAGCAATTGGTTAAAGAAAAAACTCAATAGAATAGGACCAAGAGAGAATAAGATGAAATCCAAGACTGAATTCTATAAAAGTCTTCCGAAATATGACCAGATGTCCTAGTTTTTGAGGGCAATCCTGATTTACTCCTTCTGTCCCAACATTATTATCAACACTGCCCCGTGCCAGACACAGAGATGAGCTACCCAGATACCCACTCAAGGAAGGACTTGCTGGCCCCCTGAAAGGAATGTGGTTACCTACTGCTGTGTATTCCTCAGTACCACCTTAGCTTTAGAGCCAGTAATCCTGGCCAATGGCTGAGCAAGTTAGTACAGGGACCCAGACATTTTCACCCAACAAAGGATTCTTCTAATAGTCAGCATTGATTCCAGAGCTCCCCACTGGACTGAAAAGACTCTGGCAGGTCTGCATTGTGCGTTCACAGCAATTCCCTACCTCATTCTACTTCCTCCTTCACTTTTCTTTCACTTCCTCCCCAATAAACCTTTTGCCCTCTGGTCTCATGTCTGCTTCCCAGAGTACTCAGCTGACACGTCTCCTTCTACTCTCAAAAATGAACCCATGTGCATAATAAGTTAGATGTTCACCCTATCCTGAAACCTTTAATGTTGCTTCAGCCACCATGACTCCCACATATTAAAAAATGTGTGTTTCCTTTACCTTTACTTCAACCATTATGACTCCCACAATTACATAATAATTATCATATATATTATATCATATATAATTATGTAATATGTGAAACACACATTTTTTTCCTCTTAATCATGGAGATAATGTGTGACTGCAAGGTCTCTAATGTGCTCAAGCCAGGCTCACACAAGTACGGCCTTTCCCCTGGTCTGTCTAACTGGAAGACTGTAATAGAAACTTTGACCAACATATGAAGTTGATTTGGCAAAACTTAGTAACCCATGGTGAGTTCTAATGATCACAACATCTTTCCTACGCTTTCATAAACCAAGTGTTTAATACTCCATTATAGGGATTTTTCTGGCTTCCAAATCTGTGGCCTTAGTTCACATCTCCCAGTTCTCTCTGCAGGGTATGTACAGTTTGTTCTCCTGGCTCTCGCCCTTCCTTACCTCTCTCAGTCCTCAGTGCCATCTTCATACCTTCATCTTTGTGGCCCTATCATTGCCAGCCTGTGGGGAGAACTGCATAGTTCCAGGCTCCTGGATTCACAGTCCAGCTCTGCAGCAATTCTTCGGCCAAAAGTGGGCCTACTCTTGAATCTTCTCTGCCTCCTTTCCCCTGAGCCCCTGTGCCCCACTCCTCCACCCTGTCCTCACACTCTCCCCCACCTTCCAAGCTTCCCTGCCCTCCTGCTAGTCCAACCGACTCTTGGGATCTAGATCAAGCTCCATGCCCCTCATGAGGTCTTCCTGATCCCCATGACAACCACAGTGACTAAATACAACTGACCTAGTCCAGCAAACGCGACCAAGCTTTGCCTGCAGGCCATGCAACCCGCTGGGCAACTCTGCCACCTTCACTGTTTCCTGGACTCCCAGTAGGCTCCTGTCAGTGTGAGGCCCTGCCCTCTCAAGGCAGCTGGTCCCAGTGGAGGAATGGACCAGAGGACGGAGTGGGAGGTGGAAGCATTCCCACCTCCTGAACTCCCTGAAAGTTTCTTTTCTTGATCATGGGTAGCTCCACTGGTGGCTCTTCCAAGACCTATGGTTTCCCTTGTCCATACCTAGGTACTGACCAATAATGTCCTCCAGTCCCACTATATCCAGAGCCCAGAGGTATGGCCTGGCACCTCACTGCCTCCCTGCTGTTAGGTGCTAAGCCGTTGGCAGGTCCTTTCAGGGAGAGCGTAGGGAAGAGGTAGAGGGCTGAAGAGTCGAATGCCCACTTCTTGGCTGTAGTAAAATTACCTCATGAACATAGCAGGTAGTACTCAGACACTCCTGTTCCTTTTTTGGCAGACATGGGTGTTTTCTCTCCCACAGACTTGCTTACTTTGCCATCCACAAAGAGTAAATAAATTCTGTCTAGCCTTTTCTCATTTATTCACTTATTGTGTGATATGTTCAGTGCTGGCTGGGCACAGTGGTTCACGCCTGTAAGCCTAGCACTTTGGGAGGCCAAGGCAAGCAGATCACTTGAGGTCAGGAGTTCGAGACCAGCCTGGCCAACATGGTGAAACTTCATCTCTACTAAAAGTACAAAAATTAGCTGGGCGTGGTGGCATGTGCCTGTAATCCCAGATGCTGAGGCAGGAGAATCACTTGAACCCGGGAGGCGGAGGTTATAGGGAGACAAGATCACACCATTGCACTCCAGCCTGGGCAACAGAGCAAGACTCTGTCTCAAAAAATGTGTGTGTGTGTGTGTGTGTGTGTGTGTGTGTGTGTGTGTGTTCAATGCCCACTGTGTAGCAGGAAAAGTTGGGCATCTTAGCCTCAGGCTTCAAGGCCCAGAATCTAACTACTCTGCTAGCCTCTAAAAGCATCTCAGTGTCCTTCTTCCTTCCTTCAAATCTTAAATCACCTACTAGTAAGCACATTGTGAGACTATCAGTAGATCCTGAGAAAATTGTACTTCAGGAGAGAGTGACAATAGTTCAATAATAATATTCATTCGTTTGTTTATTTATTGAATATACAAATATTTATTGGGTATTTATTGTGTGCCAGGCAGGCACTGTGCCAAACAAAACAAACTTTAGCGCTGCATAGTCTAGTGTCTGAGAGAGACATTAAACAAATTGGCCCACTAGTAAGTTTATCATCACAAATGGAGGAAAGTGCTTGGAAGAAAAAGACAGGTTAAGAAAGACAGAGGATGCCACGATTGGCTTGTCAGGAAGGTCTCAAAGCTGAGCCCTGAGGGACAAGCAGGGTTGACTGGGAGAGGATGGGGGACCTCTCACCCACTACGTGCCTTCTTCCTCCACTCCTGGCATGCCCCCTTCTCCCACCATTCTCAGGACCCAAAACAAAGAGGCTCCTCCAACCACTGCCTGGAGCACTCTGTTCTATCTTCGAAATGCTGATCTCAGCCCAGGGGCAGATACTACCCGCAAGCTGAGTTTGTGGCATTCCTCGACTTCCTAAGAGCCAGTTCATCAAAGCATACACAGAAGTATGCTATCAAGCTCGGGAGAGGGGTGCAGGCAGCAACGGCCCTGTTCCCAGAAGCCAGGGACTGCTGTACCACTGCAGGAGCTGAGCTTCCAGACAGGGGCTTTGGAATGGCCACATTAAGAATGATTGTGGCAATAAAGTTCTATTAGCCATCTGGAGCAATTGCATGCTCTCCAGGGCCAGGCACTAGGTCGCTGATGGCCCAACAGATGTGGGCAGAAAGAGGCTCCCAGGGATGGGAACGGCTGACTGTCTGGAATGGAGGTCAGTTAGAGGGGGACTCCAGCAGGAGCACCCAGCTAAAGCAATCTGCATGAATTCTGTTTCCATTTTAGATATGATCCTTACAACATGTGAGGGATATTATCATCTAGAAAACAGATTGCCTTTCCATGGGTAAATCTAAAAGATATATATGACGTATCAGGGATTTACAGGAAAGTTCCCTCCTCCCCAGGCTGACTCTTCCACCAAGGCTACATCATTTGGAGTCAAGCAAATTCATGTTCAAACTCTGCATTTAATTGGTTGTGTGATCTTGGGACTTGCATAAAATCTCTGAGCCTTGGTTTCTCCCTTATAAAATGAATACGATAACCCCTCTCTTTACCACCTTCTGGGAAGATGAAATCAAATGGAGGAAGTAGAGCACCCACCGCATCCTACCCATACCCTGTCAAGACTCCAGCTGTGGTCTTGGCCAGAGGTGGACGGGAATGCAGTTGGAGCTGACTAATGAGGGAGAAGCCCTGGTGTCCCCCTCCCATTTCAGGTACTTCCATCCCACAGCCAAAACCCAGTTATTCTTTGGCCTACACACTTCTCAAGAAAGCACAATGTGCTTCCATCCCCCATCTTGTGAGAGCGAATTAACAGGAGCACAAACACAGGTGTCACTATGATTTATGGAGTAATTAATAAACAATTAAGGTGTCTTGGAGCACAATCACACATTTTATTTCAGCAGCCTTGCATGGCAATAGCTTGGCTTGCCCACAGTCAGTGTTGGGAACACACCTGGCCCATAGTCCTGGGTGATTTAGAAGGATGTGTGGTTTTTATGTAAAGCCAGCGTTGCGGGTAGACACCGCCTGAGAGGTGTAAAGTCGGACGCACTGTTGCCAAAAGCAGCCAGCCCTAAGCCTGCACTTCACTGTGTTAGGTCTCTGCATGGGCTCTGTACCACCCTGGGGGTGAAAAGCCCCTCTGGAAAATCTGCTCACAGGCTACTGGCGAGGCACACAGACCCCTTGTTGCTGCCTGTCCCTGCTGTAAGCATGCTCTCGAGGCTGGTGTGCAGCCCCATTTCTAACTAGCGCCTCCCGCCTGTGTCCTGCATGAGAAGAGACACCATTCATCCCCTCCTCTCCTGGGGTTCAGAAACAAGCTTCCCCTGTAGCCAACAAGACTCCTTCCTTTCACCCCCACCCCAGCCAGTATACCAGGTTCCCTCCCCTTGGAGGCACCGCCAGGGGACACCGTGGACATCCTCCCATCTGTCTCTCCCCACATTACATCGAGTTCCATCTCTAAGCCTTGTCTTCACACCTCCTAAACATGGCTCCAACCTGCCCACTCCACCCCCACCCCACCAGTCCTCTGCCCTCCTCTTCAGCCTTTGGTGAACCTCTCTCCTGCTCCCTCTGTGTACCACACTGGATGCAAACACTGTCCCCTGCTAGGCTGACTCAACTCTTCTGTCTCCTCTGATGTGTTAAGGCAACACCTCATGACCCCCATCCTCACTGACCACCCAAGCTGGCCCCTTCTTCCACTAGCACCAGCTGACATTCTCACTGCTCACTCCTTTCCCCAACCCAAATTCAAAGCCATTGGAGAGAACCCAGTTTCCAGGTCTCTTTTTCCAAGAAGACTTCCCTGATCAATCTCTTCCACCCTGAAGCCTGCCAACAGGGTCAGCAAGCGCTATGCCTGGTTTTTGGTTTTTGCTTGCTGCACTTGCTTGTGGAGTAGGATGGCATAGAGGTCAAAAGTGAAGCTCCCAGGGTGAGACAAACCAGGGTTCAAGTCCTGGCTCTGCCAGTTGCTGGCTGCGTGACCATAAGCGAGTTATTTAAACTCTCTGTACTTTAATTTCCCCATCTATAAAATGGGGATCATTATTTTGAAGAATAAATGAGCTAAAGTGTTTAGCATAGTGGCTGATATGTGATAAATGCTCAGTGAAACTTAGTTCTTTATTATCTCACACACACACAATCTTTATAATTAGATTTTAAATGCCACAAAGACAAGCACCAATTCAAATCTGTTTTAAACTGGGAGAAAGACAAGCTGGCGCTCAGAAGCCACTCCTTCTCTGGCTCCCACACCGGCCCTGATCCTGTCTTTCACTTCAAGCTTTCTTTTCTTTCCTTCCCATTGAAACTTCAGTCTTGAGTGTCTATCAACAGCTGACATCCCAAGCTCCCTGAAAACTGTAGTTAGCTCTCTGTGTCTCCAGGCTGAGGTGAGAATACAGTTGCCAGGTAAAATACAGTATGCTCATGCACTCATTAGGAACACACACACACACACACACACACACACACACACTTTCTTGTTTACTTGAAATTCCAATTTTTAACTAAGTATCCTGTATTTTGATTTGCTAAGCCTGGCAACCTTAGGTGGGAAGTGCTCAGGGAGGAATATCTGGTCCTCAAGCACTATGTTTTATTTCTCCAACTGGGAAATTCCACTACAACCAAATTTGTTTGTCTGGGGCCCTGTCCTACAAGCCTGAGATTATGTTTGTTATGGTCAACTCAATTCTTCAGTAAACATTTCTAAATGCAAATAAGCATCAAAGCCTTGCAAGCCCATCTGGCGGTTTAACAGACTTCCTGACGTTCTCCCATTCCCTACTCTTAGGACGCCCTGTCCTTATCACATGGGAACACACACACTCACAAAGGGAAAAACCAATATGATTAATGGGGGGCTACAGTCATCTTTACTATCCCTTCCAATTTTTGACCTTGCATGTGGAATGTGGGTAGAATACTCACTGGTGCTTTTATGTCCCAAAATTCTCTGAGAGATGATCATTATCTTGACTGGGTATAGAACTCTTAGATCATAATCCTTTTCTTTCAATGTTGGTAAATATTGTTCCACAGTCTTCCGGTTTCCAGTTCTGCAAATAAATGTAAAAGCCTTTTTTGTAAATGTCTCATTTTTTTCTATCCACAGTCTGTAAAATTTTCTCTTTCTTTGGAGCTCAGCAATGCCTCCTATGCCAGGGGTGTGTCCATTTACAACAATCCTGGAACCCTCAGTCAGCCCTTCCTTACTACAGACCATGTCTTTCTTCAGTCAGGAAATGTTTCATCTATCATTTCTTTAACTATTATCTCTCCATCTACCCTTCTAGAACCCCTGGCTTTTTCATATTAGATTTCTTGGTTCTATTTGTTAGCGTTTTGCTCATAAGCACCATATCTCTGTATTTTGCATTTTTACTTAGTATGTGAGCTGTCTCCCATATGATCACCAGAACACTAATTTGGTTCCCAGTAGTGACCAGTCTACTTTATAGTTTGCCTATAAAATTTTTTAAATTAAAAAATCACTTCTCATTGTTTTAGAAAATTCATGTTGTCCTCTGGATTTCCTTGAGAACTCTTCCAATGTAATAAAGCTCTCTTCTGCCAGATCATTTTGTTCTATCTCAGTACAAGCCACCTATTCTCATTGTTTACTAAATCCCTGTAAGTGGATAATGAGTTTTCTTTTTCTACTCATGATTATGTGTTCCCTGGGCACTTATACCATTTGGGCTGTTTAGGGTTTCTCAAACTAGAAGGCATCAGAGAGATGGTGGATTTGTGCCTCCTGGTGTGCTGGTAGTGAATAAGCTGTCCAACAATTACCAGCACCCTCTCTGCAAGGGGTGAGGAAGCAGCTCTGTCCCACATTCCCTGACACAGGACAGTGTGGCAGTCTTCACACCCTACCACTCTGGCTCATACCCCTGATCCCTTAAAAATAGCCAATCAGAATTAGGTTAGACCGTGCAGTCGAACCCTGGCCAAAAGGGGAACGACACAGCAGTAAAGGCTACCTGCATCAGGAATAAGAACCCCTTCCCCTCCTTGTCCATGTGTGCTCTCTCACCATTACTCCATCTATAAAACTCACTCTTCTATAGAAGTAAATTTCCTTGCTAAGAAAATTCTTTGTCTGAGCGTTAGTTCTCCTTTTCAGCACCAAGGAACAAGCATTTGTTTCTACCTGCACCACTGGTCAGCAGGCTCAGGCAGCATTTGCAGGGACGACACACATCCAGCAACAGGTGCAGCAGCTCTGAGGGTCCCTCAGGCCCTCTTAGCCGTTAGGCCTCTCAGGAAGTCTTGAAATCTTTCTTCTTCACCCCAGTCCCTGAGAATGGAGAGCCTTCTCTACCTTAATCACTTGGTCCTCACCTGAACCAAACTCCCAGCATTACATCTGCCTTCAGGCTCACCAGCGGGCGCACCCACAACTGCTTGACTCCACTAAGGGAACCATGATGGCAAAAGCCTGGAGCACAGCACAGGGCTGGGGACTGTCCTCAGGGAACCATCTTCCCTTAACCTCCACTGTAAATACTACTGTTCTAAACCTCCTCATCACAATCTTGGAAAAAGCACAGTTCCTCTGGAATAGCTGCATGAATATCTAGCTCCTTTCAAGGCAGTTATGGGAGAGCAGAAAATAATCTGAGCTTAGAATCTAAAATCTTGAGTGTGAGACCCAGCTCTGAGCATTTTGTAAATGTTGAAGTGCTGTGTCACCATGAGTTATCTCTGTAATCATATTACTGAACAAGACTAATTCCAGGCCTGAGTCCTACACAGGGCCCTTCCAGTGCTCTCCCAGGAAGCAGATATTTTTCTGCAGAGCACTCCACTCAAATTCTTTAGGGAGAGAGAACTACGATAACTCAAAGGCAAAGTAACAATAGCAGAGCCGATGCCATATTTTCATAGCATGTTTATGAGGACATCATATGGAAGAGAGCTAAAGGGCTTACTGAAGTCAGGATATTTTACGTCTATTGCTTTTGCCTTATCTTCCAGACCTGTCATTCTGACCTGGAGGAAATTAAATCGGTCTGATGTGATTGGTTCCCTGCACAGTCATATTGGTTTTCATCCAGCATCCTCTGGTTTTCTGGTATTTGTAAATTAATTATTGGATGATTTCTTATAATATTTATCTTAATAGTGCCTGTCATAGCACATGACATTTATAATATGTTTTTTAGTTTCTTGGCAAAATGAGCTCAGTAAATGTAAAATATTATTGTGGGCCTCTATCAAAGGTGTCAGATGACCCTGCATGAGGATGAGTGGACAGGTTGGGCTCTCTCTGAGCAGGATATGCCACTCACTGAGTACTCTCTCTGGGAAAGGGAACTGCAGAAATTATCCTTATCATCATCTAATTTGCAAAACACAACCACTTTTTCCTTCTTCCTTCCCTGTTCTCACTCGCTCCTGTGGTCCACTAGGTAATATACCTGTCTAGAAAATACTCCTTTTTTCAGAATGAAGACATCTTTTGACCACATATGATCACTTAACCCAAGAAAGATGTCAGCAGTGTCTACCTTGCCCCAATACCTGTCAATTCAGATATTCTGGAAGCCAAACCTGGGCTCCAAGTTGCAGCCGCAAACCACAAGCAGAAGTCTGCAGCACCATTTCAGGACCTGTTATGAAAGAGAAAAATACAATTCAGGGGAATGGGAGTTCTAGGCTCAATGCCCCACTGGCTGGCTGGAGCAGGTCCACACAGACTCTCAGGCCTTCACCTGCCCAGTGAAAGGACTTGACTAGATGTCCTCAGAGGGTCCTTCCAGAGTATAGTTCTGTTCGATATTGGGTTCTTAGTACACAGACATGGCAGATGCACTCTTAGACCATAGTAGAATCAGATTCTCTGACTACTGATTAGAAATCCCAATGGCCATAAGGTCTGGTGGGAAATTCCACGGACTTCACCAGGGATGGCAGCAAGGACGAATCCCAGGAAAATGTTGAATGAGGCAGTGGAGGTTTGTGGAGCTGCTACTCCCTGACCTCTCAATTCTTTGTTGGTTCTCTCTCCCTCTTCCAGCTTTAGGCTGTTGGTGGCTTTATATTGTCCCTTGTGGCCCTTGAAATCCCATCTTAGTATGTCTTTTCCAGGCCATGTTTGCTGCTTACATATTTCACAATCTACCTTCAGCCTTCAAACTTACCCGTCCACTGTCTCTAACAAAATATCTGCTTGGTTATTCAAACTCATGAGGAAAACAAAATTGGAAGTCATATATGTATGGCTAATAATAGCTTATTGCTTTACATCATGAGAACATGAAGACCTTACAAATGGAGGCCTTTTGAGCTATGTAACAGGAGAAGCGGTTTGGGAGCCTCTCTAAGCACTCAACACTCAACAGGCCAGTTGTAGACATCCTGTTTTAATGCAGAGCTCATCCTTCCATCAAAGGAAGAGAGGTGGGACGGCATTAAAAAGAGGTTCAAAACTGAAAGCTTGCCACATTAAAAGTCAGAAAATGTCTGGCTCCACTTTGCACCCTGGGTCCATGTACTGAAGACAACATGAAAGGATTAAGAATAAGTATCTCTCCCTCACCCAGGCATTTAAAGCTCCAGGAAGCTGCAAGGTGGCATGATGAGCAGGAGGAACCCTGGGTTCTGGTTCTGTAATTGCCACTTACGCACTTGGTGACTTTAGACAAGACTCTTTACTCTGAGCCTGGCTTTTGTATTGAAAACCATGAGAGGTGACCAGAGGGTCTCTGAGGTCACTTTTAACTCTTAAATGTTGTGGTCATCATCTTCATTTATCTCTTCCAGCATGAAGATGCCATATTGTCATTATCACCAAAGGGATACAGGATTGGGCAGGTACCTAGCTAGCAGTCACTATTCCTGCTGGCTAGGGATGGAGTCTTTTATTCCAGATATCCCCTTGTACTTTTTTTTTTTTTTTTCAAAAGGATGCATCCTGGCCTTTAAGAGCTGGTTCTTGTCCAGAATCACTTCCAAGGACCAGGCCGGTCTTCCTCCTCTAGCAGCACTTTGAAATGTAAAATAAAGGTTTGGTCAGTTGTTTTTCACCACCAACCTGCATTTTGGAGGAATGGAGCCTAGATGATACATCTGGAAATGTGCTGTGCATCCTAATGATTTCAGTGTTCCCACCAGAGGAGGTGTCACCTTCACAACCCCAATTCAGCCAAAATTTGCAAGCTGATCAGACAGGAAGGTGTCCCTGTGTACATAGCAGGAGGCTAAGTCTAAGCACCAGAGCTTTCCTATCTCAGACCCTATGGCCCATTGAGCTGTAACACAGTTAAACAAAACATCTGCCAGTCACCCCACTCACAGCCCAAAAAATGCCATGGTGAAGGAAGTGCCCACAAGGTCTTCACAGAAAGGAACCTGCCAAATGGTTTCTAGAGGAGACAGAAATTCTTGGTTCAAATGTAGCTCTGAGATTTACAAACGAGTGATTTAAGCTCTCTGTGCTTCAGTTTCCTTTTCTGTGAAACAGGTAATAACACCTGTCTTGCCTTTTGCAAGGATCAACTGAGGTGACAGATGTAAAAGAAAATACCTTATAAACTACAGCTCTTTGAAGGAGAATGGTAGCATAATTGTCAAAGAACTGTTTCAAAGTAGACATGCCAAACTCTCACTCTCTAGAAATCTAACCCAACATCCAGGGTAGGGCCTGATCATATGTCTTCTGAAAAGATCTTCAGAAGATTCTAACACACACTCCCCTGCTGTGTGCTATGCAGACATAAGAGGTGATCGATAGGATGTGGGCTCCATCCCTAATTAATATCTGGGTGACTCTAGAGGGAACCATGCAGAAAATGTGAGTATGGACCCAGGGAGTCATGAAGAGTTTTAAAGCTCAGGCACAGGATCCTGGCCCCCCAAACCCTGAGAGGTAGCTAGGTCATCCATCCAGTTGGGAATAAGGTAAAGTAGGGCACACTTTTTTAAGAAATGAGTCAAGGATGACATCTAAGGTGAGATGGATATCCAAGGCTAGACTGAGGTACCAATGAACACAGTTACCTATCAGGGCCTTCTGGGATTTCTCTGTTTCACTATCTTGTCCAAGTTTGATCAGGTCAGGCATTAACATTCAAGGTCCTAAAACAAAAGTCTATTCACTAAAATTCAATGGTCAGAACCAGGTGAGTCTCTCTTTGTTCCTTCACCCTGGTCCTGGGGATGGGACTCCTATAGTGCAGACATGGTAGGTACAGTGGATTAGCCACTTCTTGGCTGGTCACAAATCCGAGGCTTGCTGCTGGGCTCCCAGGTTACTCCCTAGAAGAGGCATCAATAACAGAGCCCTGCTGCCTGACTGGTCTCTGAATCTCCTTCCTGATGTCAGAGATGCCTGGGAGTCATCAGCCAGCCAATCCCAGATCAGTGATGGCACTCACCCCAGACCATGGACTCTTGACTGTTTGCTCACATTGACTAAAAAATCTCAGCCTACTCCTGTTTTTCCATATTCACATATACATGAACATAACACAAGAAGACCCATGACAGCCACCTTGCATATTCTGGATGGTCTTTGAACCTCTTCTTAGACAAAGGTCCTTCAAACACTTGAGTACCATTGATGGTGAGCATATCACTAATACCATCCAGCCAATGCTTACATGTAAAATATCTTCCATGACAGTTTTTTAATAGCCCTGAATCTTTGACATTTCTCCTATTTTAAGGGGGAGTCCATATTCCCTCTTCTTGAATCTCGACAAACTTATGACTGTTTTGACCAATAGAGTATGGTAGAAGTGACACGATATGACTCCCAAAGCTAGGTCAGAAAAAGCCACGCAGCTTTCACTTGAACCCCTTGCAAAACTCACTTTGGAGTAATCTAGCCACTGTGTCAAAAGTCCAATACCATAAGATCACCATGCTAGAGTGTTCACATGTGGGCACTCCAGTCAACAGCCCCAGCTAAGCTCCCAGGCAACAGGAAGCACCAAATGCAGCTGTATGAATGAGCCATCTTGGATTTAGTCTGATCAAGGACTTCAGATTATTCCAGCCCTAGTCAACTTCTGACAGTAGCTGCATCAGAGATCTCATGAAAGAACTGTCCAGCCAAGACCTTCCCAAATTACTGTTCCAGAACATTGTGAATAAGATAAAGTGGTTGCTTAAGCTGATAAGTTTTGGGATAAGTTATTACACAGCACAAGTAAGTGAAAAATCTAATTCCAACGTTTTTATAATTACAGTGGTGGAGATGAGGGGTGGCCATTTATTTGCTCAGATCATTTGATCCCAACATAATCAGGCACTCTCATTCCCTGTGAATGGGAATAAAACTTGGTAAAAATCTTCCTGGAAGCAATTTTGATAATACCAAGCTAGAACTTTAAGCCATGCACGGTCTTTGACCTCTCACTTGCAATTCTAGGAATCTGTTCTAGTGAACTGATTACAGATATATACAAATAATTCTCTGAATCAGCTCTCAGGATACTGATGAGTGTTATCTGTAACGTTAAAAGATTGGGAATGACTTAAATGTCCTACTGATGCATTTGTTAAATAAACCATGATATACGCACACAAGAAAACAATTTATACCCATATAAAACCATATTTTTGAAGTATATTTAATGACAAAATCTTCATAATCTGTTGGTAAATAAAAATTGAGCCTATAAATGGTATTTTCCTCATATTAGAAATACATATATAAAGAAGGGAAAAGCTCAAATTGTAACAGTGATCATGTCTAAATAGTACTATGGCTCAAAGTTTTTATTTCCTTCTATAGGTTTTTTCCATGTTTTTTTACATTTTCTGTAACCAACATCCATTACTTTTATAACCAGTAAAGAGGATATTTTAAAGAGAAAGAAAAATGTGACATGTGAACTGCCAAGAATATGCAAAGAGCCTATGTACCCAAGCACCAGCCACTTCTAGAAGGCTAAAAGGATCATCAATCACAGCTACAGAGCCAAGGCAGAGTCCGTGGTGCCTCATAAGACTGAGAGAATCTAAACTTCCTAGTGGACAAGAAGCAAAGCAAGTTCAGTAGAGGAGGAGAAAGAGCACATGGAGCTTAGCTGGGAAACTGGAGGCCCAGAGAGTAAAGATAAGAAATCAAAAGTCAAAGTACAGTTTACCATAGAACCATAGGAAAGTAGTCACTAAGTGTGTCCCATATATGGGGGTAGGGTGGAAGGAGTGTGAGCAGGAGCCATTGATTAGGAGCTTCTGGAGTCTCCTTGAGGACTTGCAAGCAAAATGCAAGCTCTAGGGCTGCACTATCCAATATGGTAACCACTAGCCACATGAGTTATCTAAATTAATTAAAATCAAATTGAATTTAACACTCGGTTCTGTCATACTAGCAACATTTCAAGTGGCTAACAGTTATCATATTGGACAGAGCAGAACAGAACTTTTCCATCATTGCAGAAAATGTTCTGATGGACAGAACTCCTCTAGGGAGTTGCTCAACTTGGGTTCTTAGATTTCTGGAGAGCCAGTAATGAATAGTGTAAAGACAGAAGTGAGAGCCAACAGACCAATTGAAACCCAGTTCTCACACTTAACAGAGATGTGAGATCTTAGACCCATTGCTCAGGACTCCCTAAGTGTCAGCCTTCTTACCCATAAAATAAGAATAGTAATGTCTACC